GCGGTGAATCAAATCAAGTCTCAGATCTTAATCACAATTAAGTGATAATATGATGATTTTGCCGACCCTTCAGGGCAACCCCTCCCGTCCTACGGATAGGCAAGGTTTACCAGCAGTCCATCCCCGGGGCAGTCAATTAAATTGAGAGCCAGACTAAACAAAACACTCGGTCATGAATAAACTGTTTTTTATTTGAAGCAAAAGGAAACTCATTATAAAATGTGTTTCAGTTGACCACCAAAACTAAAAACTGTCGATTTTAGGCATTTCTAGAATAATCTAAACCTATAGAAAACATTTAGTAGTCATAGAAAAACACTAATAATTAGGTTTACAGACGAAGAAAATATTTGTAAACTTGAAATAATGGCTAAATAGAGAAATGATTAAATAATCGACTAATAAATCTGGATCAGTTATATTAAACTCTAATTCATACAAAACTACCAAAAATTCATTTATCCTAATTTTGACATTATTAAATGTTATCTTTTTTAATATAATTTAAAACTTACTTGTTAGTCAAATAAAATAAACATGATTATATGTTTTGATGTAAATAAAAAATCATTTTTAATTGCAATAGTTTTTAGACATTTAATCAACAATTTTTCTCCAGTCATTATAATACTTGCATTTTTAAATGAATCAACATAAATATAAATTATTTTACTATTTAATTTAGTAAAACTTAATTTACTGTATTGGAAATTTATATTATAAACAATTAATTTTAATAAAATACAACTCAATTGTGAACATGAGCGATACACCATTCATTACTAAACCATCAAAATATGACCATGTTAATTCGTTTAGCAAAATTTATTCTACGTACGTCTATATTTTAAATCCTATCTAAACTGATGAAATAATTTTGATAATCATTTTACAGATGGATATATTCGTTATTCTTAAGAGGTTTTCGAAAAGGCATTGATTTGACTGATCTGTATAAATGCTCTCAAAGTCAACAATCAGAGCATTTGATGCATAAACTTGAGAGGTATGCCTAAGACAATACAAAAAATGTTATCTATTTCTGAACAACTTAGTAAGCAATTACTATTTTGGACATGTTACCGTAAATTTAATGTATGAATTATATAGGAACTGGAATAAGGAATTGTTAAAAACAAATCCAAGTATACTGATGGCTACATTTAAGACATTCTTTCCCTATCTATTTATTCTACTTATACTTGAATTCTTAACGGTAAACCTTAAGAAACATACATTTATTCATTTATAATGAAATTTCAAATTAAATTAAGTCATGTATTTATGGTGTGTATTAGGGCTGTGTTTTAAACATTTTTAAGGCCCTATTTGTCGGACGTATACTCCGGTATCTGTCAGATCCGACCAAAATGAGTTATAGTAGTGCCTGTGTCTATGCATTTGGTGTTATCCTTGTAACAGTGTTAATGCCGATCGCATACCACCCCCAGTGCCTCATATCATACAGAACTGCCGTCAAAATGCGGGTCAGTTGGCGGTCACTCATGTATAAGAAGTCATTACTATTGAAGACATCGGCGTTTGAGAAGACAACTGTCGGACAGATTGTGAATCTCATGACTAACGATGTCTCCAGATTTGATGAGGTCTCACATCAACTCATGTCTATCCATTAATATCTACTTTTAATTGTATTTTTATTTAATTTCATATTTAGTTTTGTCTAACATTTCCGTCAATAATAGTAGTGCCCATAAACTCATTAATTAGTTTATATATTTGTTGGCTATTTATCGGACCGGCATTTTTCGTAGGGTTGGCAATAATTATACTTTTAATTCCGTTTAATATAATCAATGGCAGAGTATTTCGAAGGATGAGGTCTGTATTGAATCCAATGTTTGCAAATAATTCACAATTTACTGTAAATAAAACTTAACGATAGGTCAAAAGTCATTCACTTAACGGATTACAGAATACGACTAATGAATGAAATTATAAGAGCCATGAAATTAATTAAAATGTATGCCTGGGAACTACCGTTTTCGCGATCTATTTCCGATTCGCGCCGGTATGTATTATTAAAATTAAAAGACACATTAATAACATTAAAAAATTTTAATTAGCAAAGAGATGGAAAATATAAAATGGATGTTATTATACCAGAATGTCACTACAATTATGTTTCTATTTCTTTCACGAATTGTCGTTTTTGTAATTCTGATAACATATGTGCTAATGGGTGGTCATATGAACCCGGAGCCGGTATATGTGATTATGATATTATTGAGATATATCTGCACCGGTCTGGCCAATCAAATCCCACGAATGATCGGTGTGTCCGCAGAAATATATGTTTCTTGTGGAAGGGTTCAGGTATTTCTTGACAAATCATTTCTGTATCATTAATAATAAATTCTATTGTTTTTATAAACTTGGTAGAAATTCTTGTTATTATGTGAAAAACCTGTTAATGAATTTAATAAAAACGATAGCAACGAATTACCAGAATTAATAGGATTGGTTGGAAGTGAAATTAACCCGAAATATAGTCACAATGAGCAAAATACTAATATCAATACAAATATCAATAAAAGTATAGAGAATTATAATAGTATTCTTGTGAAGGATATGTCTGCAACCTGGAGAACCGTAAGTAATTGAAACTCATTATTATATTACTAATATAAAAGTTTTTATTTTAAACACTAAAAATAATTAGGAATCAGAAGAATCTACTTTAAAAGATATATCAATGAATGCAAAGTCTGGTGAACTTGTAATAGTTATTGGACCGGTAGGCTCTGGAAAGGTATAGAATATTTACCTTACGTATTAAATTACTTATTTTATAGGAAAAATAATTTAAAGCAATTTATCTGATTTTATTACCAAATTGAGAGCACATTCCTGATGTCACTGATGAATGAGTTGCGGATCACTTGCGGTTCTCTGCAATTAAACGGAACCATAGCTTATGTCTCACAGGAGTCGTGGGTTTTCAACGCAAACGTCAAACAGAATATTATTTTCGATAAACAATACGAAGAGAAAAGGTTTCGTGAAGTGGTGTCCGTCTGTGCGATGGAAAGGGATTTAGAGTCACTTCCCTTCAGAGAGAAGACATTAGTCGGGGAGAGAGGAGTCCTATTGAGTGGCGGACAGAAAGCTAGAGTGGCTTTGGCCCGGTATGTCATTCACTATGTATTATGTTTAGTATTAAATGCAAATATAAACTAATCTTTCAATTTCTTTTTATAAATTATAAAATTTGTGTAATTTTGAATTCAATTAATAATAAGATTTAATGTATTTTCTTATAATTAGTGCCCTTTATAGCGATGAAGACATCTATCTATTAGACGATCCGTTAAGTGCTGTCGACTCTGAAGTCGCGAATCATATCTTCGATAAGTTTTGAATTTTTATTAAAACAGATTTTAAAACAATTATTATTTCAGATGTATTTGTGATTATCTAAAGACAAAAACAGTGGTATTAGTCACACATCAGATCCAATTCATACAAAAGGCCACAAAAATCTTGGTTTTCAAAGAGGGTCGGAGTCTAGCGTTTGGAACGTATGAAGAATTACTCGATTCTGGCATTGATTTCATGTCTTTGATTAGTGATAATAAATATAATGTTAAACAAGATATAAGCAATGAAAATAGTAACGAAGTTGTAATAGTCGATAAAATGGCTGAAAATACTCTTGCAGTTCAGAATGAGGCACATTTGATATGATTGCAAATATGTTATAAATTTATAAAGTTTAATTTTTTCATTATTACTCTTAAGGAATCGGAACTTAAAGATCAATTTATTGCCGATGAATATCGACATAAAGGTTCAGTTGAGGTGAAAGTTTATTGGCACTATATTAGGGCCGGTGGTGGACCTCTATTAATTAGTGTCACACTATTCACAACAATTATATACTACTTTCTCGATACTTATATTGATATATACCTGGCTAAGTGGTAATATACAAAAGAATTGTCTATAAATAAAAAATAATAATAAATGCTATTTCTAGGACTAATAGAGAGGACACCAAAAATTCAACCAATTCTAGTGATATTAATAACCAATGGACTGATATTATGATATATTCTGTGTTATTGACAGCAGCTCTAGTAGCTGTAGTCTGTCGGTTCACAACATTCATCAATCTCTGCATAAAGTGTTCAATCAATTTACACAATCGTATATTCAATCGCATAATGACAGCACCCATTGCTTTCTTCGACACCAATCCTATTGGTATTTTTATAAATTACAGTAATACATAATTTGCTTAAATATTTTAATGTTCATATATTAGTGAGTAGGAAATCATATTTTATATTATCTTATTCATTAAATAAATAAATAAATAAATAGTCAATTTAAATTCTGGTTAAAAATAATTTTAATAACTTAGTTACTATTCTAAAAAGTGCTTTACATTAAAGCAAAATATGAAACAGCTTTGAAAAGGACTGTTATATAATATGAAATATTGAATGCATATTGTAATAGAGATTATAATTTTATATTAACTATTAATTAATATCTCAATTAAAGGCCGAATTCTAAATAAATTCACTAAAGATATGGCTCTAATGGATGAAAGTTTGCCCTTGGTCTTAAGTGATATGATAGGAGTAATTATAAGATTTTATTATTTATCAAAAACAAATTATTTAATTTTAATTTTTTCATACAAACAGAGAATATTTTTGATAAGTGCGGCAATAATTGTCGTATCATTGGTTAACATTTATTCAATAATTCCGGCAATTATTATGATTATAATTGTTTCATACATTTGTTGGGTTTATATGAAAACATCAAGAGATTTGAAGCGTTTTGAAAATATACGTAAATATGATTTATAGTATTTATTACTTTTCCATTTATTTCACATTTTACAATATTTATAAATATCTAAAGAAATAATTGCACACAAACTACAGAATAAATAGTGCAAAATATAAGATAACGTTTTATAAAGAATAATTAAATCCATAATTATATGCTATTAATTAGTACATAAAATTGAAATACATTAATGTGTTAGTGAGAAGTCCGATGTTGGATCAGATCACCACAACCATCAATGGTTTGGTTACGATCCGAGCTCTCAGAGCTGAAAATCATTTTTTAAAGGACTTCCATTACTTTCAAGACAATCACACCACCAGTTATGTCATGTGTATCTCTGCCGCCAGAGCTTTTGGTATTCATTATTTGAATATAAAAATGAATTTTTAAATTTAAATTTCTATTCATTAAAAGGATTTCTACTGGAAATCGTATACTTATTTTACATGATCCTTGTGGTAATCATGCTAATGATATTCTGTGACGGTATGAATTTATTTATAAAATTTTAAATTTATTTCAATTTTCATATTTATGTCAACTCTAAAGGTATGGGCGGAGGAACGGCTGGTCTTATTTTGAATACAACAATGGGTTTAATGGTTACCATTCAGTATGCCGTCAGAAATGCGGCAGATTTGGAGAATCAGATGACATCAGTTGAACGGATCCTCGAATACAGTGAACTCGAGTCGGAAGAGTCGCCTAAAGAGGCGGACAGTCGTCTCAATGTATCCCCCGATTGGCCACTCGAGGGAAGCATTCATTTCCAAGACGTTTGTCTCACTTATGAGAACTCAACGAATGAGACGTTAATTGAAATCAATTGTCAGATCAAAGGCGGAGAGAGAGTGGGAATCGTCGGCCGAACCGGCGCTGGAAAGAGCTCTCTATTGGCGGTACTCTTCCGTATGCATCGATTCAAAGGCAGAGTCACTATCGATGGCACAGACATCACGACAAAACACCACTTCACGAAACCTTTTCTCTTCGTATTGTTTATCGAAAATAATATTCTGTTTGACGTTTGCGTTGAAAACCCACGACTCCTGTGAGACATAAGCTATGGTTCCGTTTAATTGCAGAGAACCACAAGTGATCCGCAACTCATTCATCAGTGACATCAGGAATGTGCTCTCAATTTAGTAATAAAAAATAAATTTGATTACAGTGGAGTACATGTATAGTAAATAATTTATATAATACCTTTCCAGAGCCTATGGATCCAATAACTATTACTAGTTCACCAGGTTTTGCATTCATTGATATGTTTTTTAAATTAAATTCTTCTGATTCCTTATAAATTTAAATAATTAACAAAAAAATGAATGCAATCATATACTGTACAATAGCTTACTTCTCTCCAACAGCACGACATATCATTCACTGAAATACTATCAAAGGGTTTGGAGTCCATATCAATGCAATGATTGTGAAAATATTTTGTATTCATTTCTTTGTTAATTAACTCTGATTTTTCACTGGTTTCACTTTGACTTGGTGCTACTTCTTTCATATCCATTTCATCCAAAAGTAGATATTTCTGTAAAGTTTACAGATGTTTTTAGAAATTCAAATCATTTATTGTATAAATAGTTATAGAGTAGTTAGAGAACAGTTTATTATACAAATAATTTCTAAATTCAAATTCAGAGTACCTGAACGCGTTTACAGGATACATGGACCTGAGTAGCCATTCCTATGACTTGGGGCACAATCAACATAACTAAAAAACCCAATGAACTCAATGCAATCATCGGTACAAACAGTGATTCCGCCGATATATTGCCATACAATAAGACATAAGCGATGAGTATAACTACATAAATAAGACGACTACACGTTGCATATACACAGATTGAAAGAGCCTTTATAAATGTCAACATTTTAACCTGGGACATTTCTTTACTAAACATGTAAATAAAATAAATTATAAATTCATACAGGATTACTAAATACAGGGAGAAGTGATACATACCGGCGCGCATCGCCAATAGCTTTAGAGAAGGACTCTTCCCAGGCATACATTTTAATGAGTTTCATGGCTCTTATAATTTCATTCATTAGACGTATTCTGTAATCTGAAAGGCGATTCACTTTTACCCTGATTGTTACAAATAATATAATTAGTAATTATTATATATCTTGATACTCCCAATCTATCATATATATTTATATCATACAAATCAATTACATATATTCAAATTAGTATAGTTGTAAAATCAAATTATTTAAGAATTGTACAAGATTACAATCCAACCTATATTTCCTGGATAGTTTTCCAATCATGAAAGTAAACGGAATAAATAGTATCATAACAGCATAACCCCCGAGACATACCGGTCCCACATATGACCAACAAATAATCATACTAATTATAAATTGAAATGGAGTCGAAGCCACTGTAATAATGCCCAGGGCAAACTGGGAGACAATTAAAATTTTTATAAACACACGGAATCAAGAAATATGTGTTGAAGTGAGACCTCATTAAATCGGGAGACATCGTTAGTCACGAGATTCACTATCTGTCCGACAGTTGTCTTCTCAAAGGCCGATGTCTTCAATCGCAATGACTTCTTGTAAATGATTGAACACCAACTGACCCGCACTTTCAGTGCTGTCCTATAGCCCATTAAAGAGAAGGGATGGTTGATCAGGGTATTGATTATAGCTGTTAGGATGACACCGGCAGCATAAACACATGCTGTCCTATAAGTCATTGTCTTGGAATCTGATAGATAGCGAACTACACGTCCGACCAAAAGAGCTGAACAATTGAGTACCAAACATGTCTGTAATTACATCATCAAATAAAGTTTCCGATTATATTATAGTAGTCAACATTATAAGTATTATAATGAAATAGTTAGTGCACAATACCCATATTATAAATATGACAGTTGGGACGTATAGGTAAGGAATAAATGTTTTAATCGTGGCTCTGGTGAAACTTGGATTCACTTTTGATAACTCCTGTTCCCAATTCCTAATTCATAGTAATAATTCATATATTATGTTTTCAATATAATTTGTAAATTCATTCAATTATTATAAATAAAAATTTCATAAACTATTTTATGTTATATTATAATTTTAAAAATTAAAGTAATGATGACTTCCAAAGAGACTCCTTTCCAATGATAGGACATACCTCTCAAGTTTCAGCAAAAGATGCTCTGAATCGTCACTTTTAGAGCATTTGTATAAATCATTTAAATCAATGTCTTTTTGAAATCCTTTTAAGAATAGGGGATAAATCCAACTGAAAATAAAAATTATTAAAAATATATAATTGTTTAATAAAGATTGTTCAAATCATACGTAGAATAATATCTACTGAAAATGTTGGCTTGGTCAAATTTTGACACCTTATTAATTTTTAGTTTTTCACTCATTTTATAAGTATTACAAATAATATCAAGGAAATCTATATACTATTTAACTTAATTATTAAAGTTCAAAAAGTAAAATAAATAATTAATATAAGATTATGAGCTAAAATAATGAAAGTTAAAATAATTTATTATGATAATTTGGTAAAGTATTAATTATTAAAAACTTGACTTTACTTCTATACAAAATCTAGTCAATTAAATATCAAATGATATTTATTTATTTTACAGATTCATTCAATTCTAAGTAATTAATTTTAAAATAATATTTTCTAAATGTACTCCGGTATTTAAAAACAATGAAATTCATAAATAATCAAGTATCGTTTGTTAGACGTTCGCTTGTTCATCAGTGAATAAACAAAATTTTCCGAGAAAAAGCCATTAGAAATATGTAAAATCATTTATATTAGTCATTAAAGTCTTAAATTTGCAAGCTATAATAATTAATTATCATTATACAAACAAATAATTTAAAAGAAATTTTAAAAATTCAATTCAATTACTTTTATTTTAATATATTCATTTTATTAATTTGTTTAATAATTATATAGAATTTAATATATCTTGCATTTTATTCAATTAATTTAAAATTTATTACTTTTTAAAAGATAAATCAAAATTGACGTCAATTTTAAGCAAATATTTATTTAATTAATTAACTCAACTTCCGTTCTTGAATTAAAATCTCTCGTAACATCTAATGATAAGATTTTTGAAACAACACTTTCATTCATTAGTAGATGAAGTCTGCAATTCCTTATCTATTAATTGATTGAAAGTTTGTACAAACTTTACAATTATATTGACAAATATGGGCATACAATAGATTTGATACCAAGCAATAAAATTGCTGCACATAAGCCCTAATTGAATGCCTAATATAGTAAATCATTACCGGTAATTAAAAGTAATTTAAACTACCTTACTGAAAAACAATTCATAAATTAATACTTCATTTCGTAATGTGTGTATAAAACTGCAATTAAAATATATCATAAAACAATTTGTTGGTGAAATTACCAAATAAGCTAAGATTATTTCACTCTGTTTTTCATTGTCATGAAAAGAATTATCAATGAATTCATATTTAGAGTATTTTTATGACATTAAATTTCTGTCCAAAAATACAATAAAAATATAATAAATATTGAAATCTAAAAATTTTGTGACAATTTAATGATGATTAGCTAGATAACGAGATATGGGAACACAAGAAATGTTTTATCAATACAAGATTACAATAAACAAAAATATATAATAGACAAAAAATTAACAAATTTAAAACAAAAGTCATATTTATCGGTTAATAAGTTTTGTCAAAAATTCAATGAACCGCATACTTAATTCTTAGAAAGCTTGTGTTCAGTATAAAAATTGTCATAAGTTTTAAAAATTATCAAGATTGCTGAGATGTTTACTCAGAATATTGAAACTCTGATAACATTGCATCAGAATCGGACAAATTATCTGATTTTGGTTCACATATAAAATCATTAAATTGTGTTACTATGTGGTGTCTAAATAAATGAATACCACTCAAATACCGGCGCCTTTAATAGTAGGCCTTTCTGTACTGACCACCACTTCACTACTGTTTTATTTGTATAGAAAGATTCGACCAAATTATGAACAAGTTTGCAAAGTTAAGAAACTATTCATATATCCTATTAAAGCGGTTAAAGGAGTTGAAGTGAATGAGCTCGAGATCACTAAATATGGTGTGAAATATGGCACATTTAAAGACAGGTCAGTTTATGAACATTTATTGTTTTATGTGATAAATAGCCTCCAAATTGAACAGATCGTGGGCTCTATTGAATGAGTCAAACAACTGGATTGGTATCAAACACGAGCCCAGACTAGCCCTCACCCGCACCAGTATTGTGGGCGACGAGCTATGGGTTGACGCACCAGATATGCCGACTCTTAAACTCAGATATATAGACAAACTTAATAATAATCACAATATACTATCGTTCAGGTATGTCATCAATGTTTAAATTTCTTATTTTGTATGATTTTAAATAACATTTTTTACTTTTATGTTCAATAACATATAATTCATATGAATTTTAAAATACTTGTATAATTATAAATATGATATCTAATTGTAACATTATACAGTATTATTATACAGTATTGTTATTTTGTATGACAACCAGAATGTATGGCCAACAGATCAAAGGCCTGGTCTGTAGCGATGAGTGCAACAAATGGTTTCAAACATTTTTAGGCAAACCAGGGGTACGTCTACTACAACATCACGAGAGCTTTGATTTCAGAGACACTAATTCAGACAAACGCCGAAACGATGACAAAGAGTTCCCAATTATATACCAAAACAAATCGGGTCTGCATTTGATTAACGAGAGTTCAATCAGTCATTTGAATTCTCGGTTCTCTGAGGGCGCGGATCACGTCTGTCACGAAAACTTCAGACCAAACGTTTTGGTCGATTACCCCCAGGCCTGGGCTGAGGACACGTGGAAATGGATGCGAATCAATGGCGTAAACTTCATGAGACTACTGGCGTGCGACCGGTGCCCCTCCACTACTGTCAACCAGAAAACCGCTGTTAAAAATATGGAAACACTGGTGGCGTTAAAAAAGTTAGTTAACATTCAAACATACAAGCTCATTTTAGCAAATAAATATTTTATTTATATTTTAGGTTTCGGCCACCGGAAGGCATAACTAAGAAAAAGGGTCTGGGTCCCAGTATGGGTGTCATATTTGCTCATTTATCCCATGGTTTCATTCATACCAACGATTGTGTTGAAGTTATTCACGGACCCAATGATGTCATTTGAACTAAATATTCATTAAAAGTTTAATTAAATCATAAATAATTTCCATTGATTTTTATAATAATTTTTCATAATGTTTCAATGAATCAATAATCTCTAATAACCAAAAAATGAAGCATCAAAAGTACAAATTAGAGAAACGTTTAAATATTTTTGTAATTAATAATTTTTAAAAATAAATTTGTCTTTTTATTACTAAATAATGTTTTCAGACTAATAGTCTATCCAGTAATATAAAATTTTGATATATCTGTTAGAATAACTATTAATTTATATCGACCTTAAATTATATAAATATAATATTTATTCAATGATAGTGTGGTTAGATAGTGAGGATGTTTCCCAAAATGAGAGTTTAGTATTCATAACACACTCATTAGAATCTAATGATTAGATTCTCCAAATGTAATATAAATTCTCATTTTGAAGGCTAACTTATTATTGAATAATTTTATACTTAACTAAACTTATAAACCATTTTATTTCATGAAATAACAAATAATTCTGATGACATTCATGTTTGCAATTACATATTATTGTTTGTAATAAATAATAATTATAACATTTAATTGCAATATCTAAAGAATAATGTTGGCTACCACTCAAGTGCCGGTGCCATTAGTCGTTGGTCTGACAGTACTGACCACCACTTCATTATTGTTTTATTTGTATAGAAAGACTCGGAAACATTTTGTCAAAGTATGTAAAGTTAAGAAACTATTCATATATCCTATTAAAGGGGTCAAAGGAGTTGAAGTGAATCAGCTCGAGATCACTAAATATGGTGTCAAATATGGGTCTTTTAGAGACAGGTCAGTATTAAAATAATTTAGTATTTTAATATTTGTTCAATTGTTTATAATAAAATAATATTACAGATCGTGGATATTATTAAACGCTAAAAACGATTACATTAATATGAATACTGATCCCAAACTAGTGTTGACTCGAACCAGAATTATGGGCCAAGAATTATGGGTTGACGGACCAGATATGCCAACACTTAAACTCAGATACATTGATGAAATCAATGACAGCCACAACATCATCACAATTGAGTAATAATGAACATCAGTGCTAAACTATTATAATAGATTTTTAACAGAAATATTAACAATTTCAACACAGTATGAAGTATACAACTATGTCTACATATAGGGGAAAGATTAAAGGAATAGATTGCGGTCCGGAAGCAAACCAATGGTTTGAGACATTTTTAGGCAGACCTGGAGTACGACTACTACAACATCACCACAGCTTTGACTTCAGAGACAGCAATACATATGATCGTCGCAATGATGACAAAGACTATCCAATTATATATCACAACAAATCAAATGTTCATTTGATTAACGAGAGCTCAATCAGTGATTTGAATTCCCGATTACCTGAGGGCTCGGATCAGGTCTTTGACGAGAACTTCAG